AACCCCACTGCAGTCAGCATGTTGTTGTGTCCCTGCACTTCACCCCAAATTGCTCCTGTGGGGATTGTCCACAGTATTGAGTATGTAAGTCACTTTGGATAAAAGCGACTAACATGTAATGTTGAACAAATCACAAAAAAGCACAAGTCACATACTGTAGCCAGTGATTTACAGCTTTGCTCACAACTGCAAATGGCAAAGTGATTCTGGCAGGTGGTGTCAGCGAGTGGCGCTCCAGCTTCTTTGTGTTACAGCTGCAAAAACATCTGCTCAGAGGAGACTGAATTCTTTGTGCCGAAGGGGCGAAACTCAAAACGAGGGAAAATATGACACTTCAAATTAAGTTGGCTCAGTGCGGAGGAGGAGACCTATTGTTGCTACACCGCTTTATCCTTGGAGAACTGTTATGTAATGTAGGGAATGGCTCAATATTATATGAAGAGCCAAACACAAGATGACAATAAACAATTTCAGAGGGAGACAACCTTGAAACAAACATCTGAAATTTACTTATGAAAACAGTTTGAACCTTCACAATACAAACAAGTCTCTCGCAATCAACATGCTTTCAAACACAATGTTCAAAACTCACAAAGCATTTAGCACTAAAACACAATATCGGAACACTTTGATAACCCAGTGAAATACTTTGCTGTTGAATACTTTAACCAGAATGTTTCAGAGAAGTTCCAATTCCCATGAGTTACGAAGGCTATGATAAAGTATTCCAGCAAAGATAATCAAGCAAACACTGATTACAGTGATGGATTGTTTTTTGTTTTGTCTTACAACAACCCAAAGCCCTGAGAGAATCAATTGTCTTCATCTATTTGGTTTCTGTTATACGTCAAAGAAAAACAGAAAAAAATGACTGAAATAATTGTTGGTTATTCAGACATTCATTCCGACAAAACGGTTGTTTAAGCTGTATATGTTTATGAATTAATTTCTATATATTTAATTGCTGCCTAAAAACAGTTCAGGACAGAAGAATATTAGTAAAATGCCCTTTTCTTTTACTTTTCCAATGTATGAACCAGTGCATTTAAACATTAAACTCTTTCTGTTGTCTTTGTATTTTTATAAATGCAATGTGATTTGTTATTGGGTATTTTATTGGTATTAGCCAACAGTGAATAATTGGCTGTTATCAGCACTTCAATTCCACATAAGTGCTTCTTTATCTATGTCGGAGCCACATATGACGCCATTTCTGTGTTTGTTACGATACATGTTTTTTTGAGTCACTATAGGTGGTGGGCGTGTCATTGGATTTGTGTGGTGACGTTTGTGCTTATATCCGGTTGCTTTTACCTGCGCACTTTGTAATAGATGGGGGAGTAAGCTAGAGAAGGACCATTTTTGTTGACCGCATACAAGGATATACGTATATGGATATGGAATATTGCATTTTTGCTTTGGAAATAAAAGGTCAAACGCATACTGTGTTGGAAAGACTGAGTTTTTGCGCGTCCACAGTGTTTTTTCTCTTGTTTAGTCCCTCACGGCACTTTGTTTAAGATTACTGCCGCAATAATCTAAATGATGTTAAAAATGTGTGTGTGTGCATGTTGTAATCCATACGGTACATTTACTTACACGGCTCATTGCTCACTGATGCGTGTCTGTATAAGTGCATGTGTGTTTGCATGAATGCAGCCTCATTTACATGCACATTTTGTCCAGGCTCCTATATAATTTTCAATCATTCCGAGAGTGGTAGCTGAAAGAAAGGGCTTCATTAGTTTATAGTGTGCCAAATGAATGACATCACACAGATTTGGGTGCATTCTGAAGTTATAGACACAAACAAAAGCAGTTAAACACTTGGCAAGTATGAATAACAGTGAAACGTCAAAACAGGAATATATTTAGGGACAGTTTTATGTGTCGCTGGCTTGGCATGGTAAAATGCCTTTTTAAAATTGGAGTCTGTCCAGTTGTCATTGACGATGACGCTGATTTATAGGAGCAGAGGGAAGGGAAGCAGGACGGAGGCTGTGTTTCCCTCTAAAGCTTTCCATTTGGTAAATGATGCTTAGCTGCTCAGGTTTCTCTGTTGACGTGAGCCCGAAGCACAGCTGCATCGGCACTAACGCAGAGTGGGTGACACGACACTGTGCCCACACGCTCAACTAATAATGTAACAGTGTATGGGTGTTAATGAATGCTCATGTACAAACAGCTGATCTAGTGGTGTTTATATAAGTATTATAGCACATAGAGGAGTGAGGAAAAGGCAAGATTGAAGACTCACATTCATCTACAGTAAGACAGCTATGATATTTGAGAGATCTTTAATTTGTCATTGTACAGGTACAACGAAATTACAATGAACTCAAGGTGCCAACACGCAACAACAAGACAATATGAAAACAGTTGTATTCTTCTAAATCCTTATGCAGCGTTTCTTCTATTGCTGTTTATCTGCAGAGTACTGACCTTGGTTGAGTTTGCAGTATTTCAGTGATAGAATAAAATGCACCACTTAGCATTTAAATACAATTTTCTCCTAATTCAAGTGATGTCTCAATCAATGAATGCTTCTTTTTCTTTTATGATTAATTTGCTGTTAGTGTATTTGTAAAAGATTGTGTTAAAGGGGTCTTACGATGCACATTTTCAGGTTCACATTTGTATTGTGTGCCCCTATTGTGAGGTGTTTACATGTTTTCCTCACACTGCCTCTGCTGCAGCACCTCTTTTGACCCTCTGGGTGTTTCTCAATGTCGAGGACGCTTCCTTGGTAGGACAAGTCCCTCCGAGTCAGGTCCTTCAGAAGCGAGGCAAGAATCCTTCCTAGCCTCGGAAAACGAAGAATGTTTTAGCAGGTGTGCGTCATATGCGAGGCCCCGCCTTAAATGGAGCGTGATTTCCGGCAAAGATTTTGGAAATTGGTCCGTGCGCAAAGCATTGTGGGGATTTTAAGGCCGCGGAGGATACACATGTGCAGCCTCGAAATTTCCGGCAACGAAGGACGCCGGCCTCGGTAGAATTCCAAGCATCCTGGACATTGGAACAGTCCTTCGGCGGGACTCGATGACGTAGAATCCTTGAAATAGTGGCTCTGGAGCAGCCTTCCTCGACATTGAGAAACACCCTCTGTCTGAAGTCAGAGCCCAGTCTGCTCTGATTGGTTAGCTGGCTGGCTCTGTTGTGATTGGTCAAGAAATGAAACTCCTTTACTGTTTTTTTTTTATCTTAGACTGAATCGTTTTAATAATGTGTTGTGTTATGAAAGACAAACATTAGAACGTTGCTATCTTCACTCTATCCACATGAAATACCGCTGCTTATCAAAACACATTATTATATTATGCTGTAATCATTGTTTCTCATAGGTTATAGTGTAAAGGGTAAAGTAAAAAACAGTTAATTCCCTATATGGTGCGAGGCGACTTTATTTATTCAACTGAAAATAAATGATGACTCTATTTGAAGTAGGTTATTAAAGTCGTGGTTATTATTATTATTATTCATTTCTTGCATTTCCAGAGTCAATGTGTTTTATATTTCAGTAAGATTTCCTGTTTTGCTCCAGTTTATCACATCAATTTGCAGCTGCTGCTCAAGTCTCTCTCGATGTTTACCTCTGGTACATTTATATCATGATGTACATTTCAATCACGTAGACATATTCATGGTATACTCACTCAGTTTCTCGGCTTGCACGAAAACAACGTCTTCTTTCTCAAATGAACTCTGATCGGATCTGCTTTGCTGTTCCTCGTCTTGATCCAGTCTGTAATGTTCAGACTCTGAGGTGGCGGCGGGGTTTACCGAAGAGTTATTCAGCATTTCATTTGTTCTTGATTTGATTTACCAGGGAGGGGAAGAGGCTTTCCTGGCTGAATAAATGCTAAATAAAAAATATTTACAAAACAATTAAAGTGCTTCTACATTTAAAGCCAAGGATTTCTGCTGTTTGTCCTCAAGAGCTCTAGGTGCCTATTTCCCCCCTTATTTATAATAGTTATTTTAAATGTTTTTATTCAATATGCAATTCTTAAATATGAATACTAAATTATCCGTTTCTGTTTACTACTAAATGTATGTTATTAATAGTCACTATGTGTGTGTTAGTATCTTAACAATTTAAAAATGGCAATACACCATTGCTTTAGGATTGACTCCTATCTACATCTGACATAAAGGATATCTTATGAAAGTTGGTGGGGTGGAATATATAAATAATATGAGCAAAGTACCTACAAGAAAACTGCTTAGGGTTGGCTGACTGTTGAATTTAAATACGAGTGGGTTGCAAAGTTCTGAAACTGTCATTGAGCGTCCGAAAATCTCCATGCCATCTACCATCATTAAATGTGAGTCCGTCCACGACATATAAAAGAAAAGACACCATGTACTGTATGTAGACAATATGTAAGTGCAATGTACATTAGCATAACCCGCAGTTTGACTTTAAAAGCCTATACAATCTGTGGAATAAGAACATTGCATTCTCGCTATGCATCAAAAATATGTTTATCAGTGTACAGTGTATGGAGGAGCAAGTTCCTGTCAAGTTTGTTTACCAGAAAGTTACGTTTTGTTCTATATTCTGGATTGTGTGAAACAGTATTTCGATCTCTCTGTCTGTACACACAAACTGGAATATTGACATTAAAGTTGACTTTGACTAAAGGCAAAAATATCACTCGGAATTGTTATTAATTGTTAGTAATCCGTCTCTAGATCTTTGTATTTTCCTCTCGTTTCTGTAGTGATATCCTACAATGGCCATAGTCAGGCCTCCTTATTTACTAATACGTCTTAAGTACAAAACAAAAAGTATAAAGCATTGTCATTTTGTTAGTGCTGTTGGACACCACACTGCACTTGTCTGCAGAGCAGCCCCTGGTCCCTGTTTCTCGTTGCCTTCACAGCTTGCTGAACCTCTTGATGAACTTCCAGTAGAGTCTGCACAGAAGCTTCCAGGAGCCGTTAATGGCTGTGCTTTGTTGCTGCTGTCTCTTCACGTCTCTATTCTTTTGTTCCAGTCACTGTGCAGGTACAGGATGCTGAGAGAAGTGAATGAGGCTACATGTGAAGGCTTTCTTTTATAACAGGTAAGACTTTTTTCTTGTATGAAAACATGCATGCAAGGGGGTTGAAATAAGCTAGTTTTGTATTTCATCATTTGGTATTTCCTGCTATGAGTGAGTCTGCAATTAAATAGGTGCATAACTTAAAGCTGGAGTGTGGGATTTTTTGCATAGAAATAAACGTCTGTCTTTTGACAAACGAGTTTACACAGTGCTGATTAGTCCTGCAGAGAAAGCTCTGGATTTCCCAGTACACTCAAACTGTAGTGTCTAGTTTCTATGGTGACTTGTCTGCTTTGGCACCCTCGTGCCTGCAGGTGCGCTCTTTGCATGGCCCTGCTCTCTTCAAGCCTTCATGTGCAATATTTCTTTGACTTAAATCTTTCCTCTAGGCTTAGAATTGCTTTACAATGGAGAACATTTACTCCATCTTTAAAACATCTCAGCCCTACATCCAGGTGTTTAGAATGTTGTCTGTTTTTCTGACATTGTTTGACAGAGTATGGCTTTGTTCATTGTGATCACAAATAACAAAGGCAGACACGTATTGTCTCCGGTGAAACGCTGAGCTGTAAGTGACTGAAATGCTATTGTATTATCTGATACTCGTTTGTGTTTTGAGTTTACATACTGTTGGCGTGTTTATTCGTAAACATGCATGCATCCATCTGTACATATGTAGGTCTGTGTGTACACCTGCTGTGTATTTACCAGATAAAGACAAGCTTAAGAATAGTTTCTTGGCTAATCACAGATGTTGGTGCACATATCAAGCATATTTGATGCAATCTGCTGTTGGCTCAAAATCTGTCCTCTAATGAGATGAGTGTTATTTGTTTGGTTATCTCAGCCAATATGTCCCTCCTGCCAACCTGCTTCCCACTGAACATCCAAAGACACTTGATAATATAAGAGCCATATTTTACACATTACTGTACATGACATTACATGTTAGACGCTTTTATCCAAAGCGACTTACATACTCAGTACTGTGGACAATCACCACAGGAGCAATTTGAGGTGAAGTGTCTTGCCCAGGGACACAACGACATGCTGACTGCAGTGGGACTCGAACTTGCTACCCCCTGATTCGAAGTCCAGCACTATCCACTGAGCCACAGCCGCAATACAAGTTCTACTCACTTAAACAGCTACACATGCACACAGTTACACTTTTTGCTAAATAGTCTGAAGTAAATGGGCTCATGTAACATTAACTGAAGCTAGCATAGCATGAAGTCAGGTTCAGGTCACGACTGACACACATGCTCTCAGTGCACAGGAGGCCATCTGAGGTGAGTATTTTTATAGAGGCACAGTTGCTCTCTAATTTAGAGCCCCTGCTTTTTAAGTCTAGTGCGTCCAAACTACTGTCTAGCGGAGATGAACGGCTCCTTCTGGATGAGATAAAGCACACTCGGTAAGATAGATGTGCACATTTGCCTCTTTCTTCCTTAATTTCTCTTTAGGCTGTCTTTTCTTTCCGCATTTTCCAATGACAGGCTCTCGAGAAGGGAGTACTACATCAATTACGAGTAGTTAGGGGATGCCATTATGCCCTAATGCATTTTTCACAGTTGACTGACAGTGGACCTGTTTGCTTTAAATGTGTCTGTAGTGGGTAAAGGAGACAAGGCCATACAAATAAACCAATGAATTGTTGCTAATGGATACGCCATGATAAAAGGTTATCCAGGTAGAAGAAAAGTCGTTCATTTTGACCTAAATGACATATGCAGAGAGTTTAACATGTTCCTGGCCTATATAATGGAAATGAGATTTGTGATAGTCAGTGGACAAATATGTTATATTGATCATGTCCATATAAAATATACCGTATGGAGTGATACTGTTGAATTTGACGTCATTTCATTTAATTTCAAACCTTTATTTAACCAGATTGGTCCCATTGAGATCATAGATCTCTTTTTCAAGGGAGACCTGCAGCATATAGGTTCCACATGAAACATGAAACAATAAAGGACATTATACATTATATTTACAGGATACATTTACATAGTTATAGACATTTACAAGTGGCCATAGTATCAATGAGCATTTCATTTAGCCTAGCTTTAAAAACATGCAGAGGAATGAGATTGCTCAGTTTCAATTCTTGCTGAAGACTGTTCCAAGCAAATGGAGCTGCGCACATAAAAGCTGTCTTACCTAAGACAGTCCTTGCTCTTGGCACATCTAACAATACTACAGCATGCGATCTCAGACAATAGCTGCTTGCAACTCTCTGTGTTATCAGAGAGCAGATATAATACGGGAGTTTACCCAACAAAGCTTTATAAATAAACGTGTACCAATGACTGAGCCTCTTTACAGTAAGTGATGGCAGACCTGCCTTGGCATACAGGGTACAGTGATGAGTAAGTGCTTTACAATTTGTGACAAATCTCAGTGCGCTGTGATAGGTGGCATCTAACTTGTTCAGGCAATAGGCAGGTGCATTCATATACAACAAATCACCATAGTCCAGCACAGGTAAAAAGGTCACAGTGACTAGCCTTTTCCTGGCTTCAAAAGAGAAACAGGACTTGTTTCTGAAAAAGAAACCTAGTCTAACCCTCAGCTTTTTAAGCAGGTTATTGACATGAAGTTTAAAAGTAAGACAATCATCAAGCCAGATACCTAGGTATTTATAACTGGTAACCACTTCAAGTACTTGTCCTTGCATAGTAACAATATCCAAAACAGGCTCTGGTGTCTTTTTAGCTTTTGAAAATAGCATTACCTTGGTTTTATCAACATTTAAAATAAGCTTAAGTTCAGCAAGCTGAGTCTGAATAATGTTAAAAACAGCCTGTAATTTAACACCAGCCTCCTTAATGGAGGGACCTGCACAATACATCACGGTATCATCAGCATACAAATGTAAAGTAGCTTCATCCACATTTTCACCTAAATTGTTGATATATATGGAGAATAAAAGTGGACCTAAAACAGAACCTTGAGGAACACCATTAGCAATGTTTAACCACTCAGAAGACAGCCCATCAAAGTGAACACATTGGGACCTTTCAGAGAGGTAGTTCATAAACCAACCCACTGCATGGCTGGATATGCCGATACGGAGTAGCCTCTGCTTTAAGATGCGATGATCGACGGTATCAAACGCTTTGGAAAGGTCAATAAATAGGGCTGCACAACTCTGCTTATTGTCCAAAATACTCGTAATGTCATTCACCACTTTCATTGTGGCAGTGATGGTGCTATGTTGCTTTCTGAAGCCTGACTGATGTTTAGACAGGATATCATTTTTACATAAAAACTCCTTTACTTGTTCACTCACTAGGCGTTCGAGCACCTTCGCCAGAACTGACAATTTAGAGATTGGCCTATAGTTATTTAAAGTAGTTGCCTCCCCTCCTTTTAGTAAAGGCAAGACATAAGCTGACTTCCATACTTTTGGAATTGCATTTGTGCTGAGGGAGAGGTTAAAAAGAGTAGTAAGAGGAAGAGCAATAAAATCTGCAGCTATCTTTAAAAAGAAAGGTTCTGCGTTGGCCGGGCCATCCGGTTTCTTAGGATCTAGCTTAGATAAGGCTTCATGAACAACATTGACAGTAAAAGGAGTAAAACTGAAAGGGTTTTCCAGACCACATTGTTCAGTCACGGATTGGGGTGTTCACAGAAGCAGAGTTAGTCACAGAATCAAACATAGAACCGCAGGACACAAAATGCTCATTAAAGCAATTTAACATAGTGGCCCTGTCCGATATAGTGCCAGATGCTGTGGTAAGGCACGGAGGTAGCTCATTACGGATCTCACCGGTGGATATCGATTGTATTGCTTTCTAACATTTCCTAGGATTATTTAGGTTTTCTGTGGTAACTGACAAATAGTACTTCGACTTTGCACTTTTGACATTTGAAGTGAAGCTATTCCTTAGCTGCCTAAAACGCAGCCACTCTACCTCTGAGCCTGATTGCTTAGCCTTTGCCCAGGCCTTGTTTCTCTCATGAAGGAGACTAGACAGCTCAGCAGAAAACCAAGGATTGTCTCGTCCCTTTACTCTAAATTTACGCAGGGGTGCATGTCTATCAATGATCTCCATAAAACCAAGATAAAAATAAGACCATGCGGTTTCCACATCAGCACACAGATCGATTTTACCCCAATCAAAATCAAACAGATCATGCACAAAACCCTGCTCAACAAAATGTTTTTTGTCTCTCTTAATGATAATGCGAGGTTTAACCTTTTGGACCTTAGTGTTACTGTTGTGTCTCGTCAAATGTGTTAGTTGTGTTTATGTATTTTGTATGTCATTTCCTGTTTTATTTTTGTACTTACCTTAGCCTCATCCCAATACCCCTCCTCGACTCCTCCTTTCCCTCACTCGCGTCCCTTCCTTGCATCTTAGCTCCGCCTCCGTAAGATGCGAGCGAGGGACACGAGGAGGTGACGCGAGGACAGAGGAGTCCTCAGGTATTAATTGGGATGTCCTCGTTCACTCAAACGTCACTCTTAAACGACGTCTGTTAATGATGACGTGCACAGCTGTATCCCCTCTCATCGGGCTTAAATGAATAACCCTTTAGAACCGGCCCATTTCTGGTTAAATATTTATTTAAATGAATCTTTCTCTTGTTAGTCAATGTCTGATGGTTGGTCCTGCTTTTGTGTTCCGTTTTGGTGTAAAATGTAGCCTACATTTAAATAAAATATAATTATAGTAATGTGAAAGCCTTTTAGAAATGAATTGCACATAATAATTCCCACGGAGTTGTGAGCACTTATACATTTATGTCATGTGACGCTTTTCCACTCATCTTCCAGTTGTCGGTTTTCCTCTGTTGAAATCGACCAGCTGTGAAGGTGGGGGCGGGGCTTTTATACGCGAGTAGTGAAAACACTTCTGCGTTGTCTGCTCGCGTGTATCCTCCCTTTCGTCTCCTCCCTCACCCCTCCTCGACTCCTCAGTGTGCATTTAAGCTATTGGGAAGTCCTTCAACATGGCGTGTCTTGATCGATTTCCGGGTCAAGTCCCGGAGGAGGGGAAGAGAGGAGT